GAGAGAGGCGATGCGGGCGTTGCAACCAGACTGGACATAACGTTCGTACCTGCGCGGTTGAGATAGATAGTGCAAGTGATAGCGGCGATTCTGATAATTAATTTAGTATATCGTAATAGTTTATTAACTATGATAAAAGTCTGTTGTAATAACTTGAAGTTGACGCGCTAGTGTAAAGTGGCCGACTCGCTTGGGTGGCCGACTCGCTTGTGAACCACGTTATATAAAAAGTAATTCTTTTGACTAATAGAAGTACTTACGTTTCTAAACAGCTATTATAGAACGATAAGTAATTAAGCTTAAACGATGAGAGAGGCGATGTTATAAGTAGGCTGGTAAACGGGTCTTCACATCGGGATCTTAAAATTACGATTACCTCGACCAATAATTACCTCATTAGGAAGCTTAGTAGCTCGTTTTGTAGCCCTAAGTTAGTAGTTTATTTTTGCTTAATATAGTAGTAGACCAACTCTAATAGATAAGCTAGTATCTAAGATCGGAGTAAGATGTAGAGACCTGACTCTTAGCACAACGGGTTACCAAATATCTTCCTACCTATCAGAGTGAGCCTATTATCATATTAGACAAAAGTTGAGTTTAGATTAAGGGCTATAAAATGGGCTACTAAACGTCTAAATTGGGTAATTATTCGTAGAGTAAATGGAGAAAAACGATCCCGAGGTGGAGACCCGACTTACCACACTATTCCTAGCGACATAGCTCACAATCATGATATAAAATTATGAAATATTTCAGTAACATAATGGATGTGTAGGTTTGAATAGATCTTATTTATCTACAATACCTTCCATGGTGCTGCTAAAAGACCATAAGCTATTCAGTTATGTTGCTCAGCCACAGGCTCCTTGCCTGTAATCTTCCTCCACTTACTATTGAGGAAGTATACGGGGATTCCAAGGAGACAGATGCTAATGAAAATCCCCATAAGTATCATAAAAGTCTTTATGTAGGAGAATACATGCGTCATTGGCACGATGCCATAGGCGGCTCCGAAGCTCACCAGATTCTTTCCACCAACCACAACCACGACTCCCGCACCAGGATTTTCGGGAATGACCTCAGCGGCGAAGGTGGTCGTTGTGATGAGGATGCAGGTGAATGAGAATTCATAGATGGCCCAGCCTGTAATTCTTATTTTAGTGACGAACTATTGTTTACACCAGGTGTATCTTACCAATTACCATTCCCCATGCACTATACCTCTCGGGCCACTGTGCGCCAATTGCGATAGCGACAATTCCAATGATGCCAGTCAGTGTTGGGATGATGAGATGGACCAGATGATGCTCTGGCTTATGAACACCACCGTTGCGGCGAGCAAGCCATATGTTAATTTTATCGGCACAGTATCCTGAGTAAAGCATTGACGCAAAACAAGCAGGCATCACACCCGCCTATAGGATATTAGTGACTTGCGACCGACATAAGTACACCAATAACTCACATTGAAAAGTCCAACGGATTTGGCATTCCAGCCGTAATCCTGCTCCAGAACAGAGCTGTACACAAGTGTGATACCAATGGCCACGCCGAGGGAGATAGAAGACACCAGCAGCGAATAGATAATGCCAGGTGCTGTGGCTGCCTTGCCTATTTTGATATAGGCGTTCAACCACACTGAGAAGCCATTCGGCGTGACATCGCTCCACGGTTTCAGCTCTTGCACGAAAGATTTCTTCACTATTTTACGAGTCTCAATTCGCTCGAGCTCACCGTACTGGGCAATAGCAATAGGATCAGTCACGATACGTGTGGTACCAAACTCGTCCGTGTAGATGACCTGGCCGTTCAACAAAGTTGGTGAACGCTGAAATTTCGTCTCAGGAGCCAAGAAGACAACGAGAAGTGTGGACAGACCTAGTGTCACTGCAAAGAACCAATAGAACATGCGCCACGAAGAAGCAGCCACCAAGTACGAATTGGAAATCTGGAGTCCTGCATTGACACAGTTCTGGACAGACCAGTACAGGCCAAAGTAGAAGCTCCGCTCGTGGAGGAATGTGACATCTGAGAGGATCAAGGGAAGCAGCGACTCGGTGGCGCCTGTACCAATGCCGAGGAAAATTCGGCTAATGAGATGGGCGTTGAAATCCTTGGCTGTAGCAGCAGTGATGTTTGTGACAAAGCACAACAAAACTGCGAACAGGAAGACTGGCCTACGACCGAAAATAAACGCCAGTGGTAGTAACCCAAGACAACCAAAGGCCATAACCATGGTGGAGTAAGTGCTGAGTCCAGTGACCTCTTCTGGAGTATGGCCTTGAGGAATGTACATTCCATAGAGAGTGGCCATAAAAGCTCCAGTTCCGGATACTGCAATGAGTGAGAAAATGGAGAACCAGCAGCAGGTGACGACAATTCCCCATTTTCTCAAGGTGCTGAAGTTCAAAGGATCGTTGGGATCATCTGTCGGGACAGGGATCTTTCGGATTTCATCTGATCCAGAAAGAAGGACGATGTCTCCATTTGCCTGCTGAATGTTGTCGTTGATGTCTTTGCCACCTTCGAACTCAATGTTCTCAATGGAAGGTTTCTCTTTGCTAGCATCCATGGTCGAAGTGTGGTACGACATGGAGGGTAGAGAGTCTGACTTAAGAAGTGGAAGGATCAACTCAAAGAGATGGTATCAGGATGAGGCCATCAAAATATGGGTAGAAACGGAGAAGATATATGTGCTGCTAACTTTGAGCGAGTTACATGTTTTCGTTAGTGCTCGAATTCTAGATCTGGTACCCATGGACGGGGACTAGGGGTCGGGTCAATAACCCCACATTGTCTCCCCGGCTCCCCGGACCCCAAGCATCCGATCCGAGCCGCATTCCGAAATGCTACTCCATATCGCGAATGATGAACTTTGTAATTTTTGCATGCTGATTCGCTAAATTGATCCAATCTCCACCTATCAGAAGTTTTCGCAGTGCATAGAAATTTCACCTAATGCATCTTGTATCAGGTACTCCACGGGTTAGGTGCCGTCATTTCTTATCGCATTCTCATCCGAAGCATTCCGAAATATAGTAGCAAACCTATACGAGCAGTAGAGGTTCTCCTTAGCTATAGTTGCTGACCTTTCCCAATGATGTTCCATGCCAAGAAAGCGGTTTACTCGGGACATCTGCCTAGCTCTACCCTGAATCCGGTCGTCGGATTGTGGAGGATAGGGCGGCTATCACATGATTCATTCGTACCATAGAGTGCCTTAGTGCCCTAGCTGTGGGCTTATTTAAAGACTGAGGAATTGGGGAGTTTAATCATACGCTGGGGTTCTGTGTAAAGCATAAACTGGATTTTCGTTATTATGCGGCTCATACAAGTCTCAACTACTGTAATTGGTTTGCTCAGTCATGTTTCGGCGTTCAAGAATCCAATCATCAGCGGAGTCAACGCCGACCCGTCCATCATCCGTGTCGAGGACGATTATTTTATCGCAACTTCGTCTTTCGAATATTTTCCAGGCCTGCCTATCTATCATTCAAAGAACCTCGTCGACTGGAACCTTATAGGCCATGGTTTGACTACCCGGAACGGTATTTTTGATAGAGCACTGCTCACATCCGGTGGTATTTTTGCCCCTACAATCCGTTACCACAATGGGACATTCTTTCTCACCACGAATTATGCTGATGGTAAGACACTCTGAAAAAAAATGCTGGTCATCAATCAATGAGGCTGACGGTCATCTTCAGGCTTTAATCCTTCTGATCAACGACCGTTCTTCATCACCACTAATGACATATTCTCAGGCGATTGGAGCAAACCAATCTACTTTGAGCAGACGGGTATCGACCCAGACCTATTCTTCGATGACGATGGTTGCGTATATCTATCTACTGGCCTACCCGAGTTCGCACCTCAGCTCGGCAACAGCACTATTTATCAATCCAAGGTAGACATGACCACGGGCAGATCATTGACCGAGCAAAGGATGATATATCGATCAACTTTGCCAGAGGACATCCGATGGGCAGAAGGAGCCCATGTATACAAGATCAATGGTACATACTACCTTTCAGTTGCAGAAGGTACGTATTGTTCAACAAGGGAGTAGGCTCTAGGAGACTAACACGAGTACGCATGTAGGTGGCACTGAAAAACTCCATCGCCAGACATTCCATCGAGGCCCATCTCCTTCCGGCCCCTGGGAGAAGAGTCCTTTAGGTCCCATGGTCTTCAACGGACGTGATACTGCTGCTCCAGTTCAACAAACCGGCCATGCAGACCTTGTCCAGCGCCCCAACGGTAAATGGTATTCTGTATTCCTGGCTGTGCGCCCACAGGCTCCTCAGAACATTAATGGCACCTGGATTCTAGGCCGTGAGACGTTCTTAAGCCCTGTCTCGTGGTTTGACGGCTGGCCTCTTGCCAACAATGGATCAGAGATCACTCTCGATATGCCGGACCCGGACTTGCCTTCTCAGTTAGTTAAGAACGCCACGTCCAGCGATGACTTCACTTCCTCGGTTCTCGATTCCAAATGGGAATTCCGAGGCGCACCATATGGCGATTGGCATCGCGTTTCCAATTCATCTTTGATTCTGCACGGGACGCAACGGAATCTCAAAGCTCTTGACGGGAATGCGCTCTTGACGCGAAGGCAAGATAGCCTGAAATCACACTTTAGCGTCTCTATTGAGTTCAAACCTACAAAAGAAACACATGAAGCTGGAATTACTGCATACGTCAATGATGCATATCACAATACCATTTCTGTGGTGCTTTGCCAAAATCAAACAAGGACTCTTTGCTTGAAGACAGCAACCATTGCACAGGGGGCGACCGTAGACGGGAACATGACTACAGAGTACTTTCCCCTGCCTGATGAGTATGTTCACGATGGATCTGCACAAGTGCGTCTGCACATTAAGGCCGCACCTGAGACCTACCGGCTTGGATACTCTTCAGAAGCATCATCCCAAGAACCCACGTGGCTTACAGCTTTTCCATCGTCATACATGGCGCCGTTCTATGGCGGTCGCATCTGCTGGAATGGCGCACGAATGGGACTTTATGCCACAGGAAACGGTCTTCCCATCCTTACTGATGCAACATTTAGGAGCGTCAGGGTGATAAATGAGTAAGGAGATAGAATCGACAACATAGAATGAGCGATGCGAGCGTACAGAGTATCTTGGGAATGAGCATCTGGTCCATCGATTATTATAAACATTCTGCCTTTGTTCAAATCATGCTTCCGATGAATACGAAACCTGCCAAACCCTGACCAAACGAGATGTAATCAGCAGCAGTTCAGTTGGGTGTACCTTCATTGTGAGAACAAACCTCCAGAGCTTTACTGTCTCTCATCTTCAGTGCTAAAGAAAACGTTGAATAGCCGTCCAAGATCGCACCTGTTGGGGGAGTTGGACCAGTTGTAGAAGGTTGATTGTTTTGCTTACCAACACCGCATACTCCAGACTGTTGAGTCACAACGGAACAGTACTTTGTAGAAATCTGGTAATCGTAATTTGAACTATTCATACTACTTGCACACCTGCAGATTTCGTTTGCCGACTTGCCCAATCCTTTGCACTGTTGTATGTGCAGTTATAGTCCATAAATTCTGCTGGGTTCATCTTAATCTCTGTTGCCCCCTTGTCTGTCGCTGGTCTGGCAGCTTCACGAGAGTATCTCTGCACTGTTGTGGCTCTCTCGTATCGAGCATCGTAAATCTCCTGCGGCCGCTTTTGAGCTTCTTCCTTTGATATGGTCTCGTCAGCGTCCGCGAAGAACGCACCCAGTGCCTCTGCATCTTCGATCGCTTGATTAGCACCTTGACTCTGCGTCGGGAGCATGGCATGTGCGGCATCACCGATCAGAATTACACGTCCAGAATGCCACCTTCTCAACGGTTCTGTGTCCCTGGGCTGCCAGAGCCCTATATCGTCTCCAGCAACTTTGAAAGGAGCTTTGGCCCAATTCGGGAACTCTCCGTACCCTTTCATCAAGATGTCGAAGTCACCCTTGCAGTTCCAACTGTTTTTTGAGTCTAGTGCTGATCTTTGATCTGGAACTAGCGCCACCAAGGAGTACACTTTGCCACCTTAAGCAGGTCCCATAATCATAGATGCGAATGGTTGATGAACTGGCAGAATACTTCGTCTTCCTCCAACTCTGAAGTTTGTACCATAAGTCTATACGCCGAAAATCCTGTCGGCTGTGCTTGAACTTCATGGCCTAGAACGTGTTTGCGCAGATTCGACTTGATGCCGTCCGCACCTACGATGACATCGCCTCGAAGGACAGTGCCATCTTTCAGGGTGACTGATCCAGCATCTGGATCACAGGAAACCACTCATGACGATGTTCTGATTGCCACAGGTTGGCCTTGTCCTTCTTCGCGCGTCGCGAAACGTCTCAATGCATCGTGCAGATCCATGCGATAGTATATCATACGATCGGCACCGTATTCGGTCTTCAACGTCAAAAGAATCTTGCGCACAAGCTATCCGTCCGTGGAGTATATCTTGAAGCCTTCAACTTTCAAGGCTCCAGCATTCTTCAACACTTCACCCATGCCGAAGCCTTTCTCCAGTATTGTCGATGCATTGAGCTGGAGTGATATAGTAGCGCCAATTTCACGATTCAGAGAAGATTGCTCGAGAACAGTGATGTGGCGGCCTGGTGCGCGAAGTGCGATTGCCTGTAGGACATTAGTTTGAGAAGAAAGCAGTCATGTGGAACAGATCTGACCGATGCAAGACCCGCAATTCCTCCTCCAACAATGACGATATTAAGCAACTGATCTTGAGACACATTGGTATCTAGGGCACAGTTCGTTGAGCTGTTGCAAAGTGAGAACATTTCCGAGGCTCGTAGACCACTCAAACCTAGTATATGGTCTCCATGTTGGAACAGATACTCCACGTCGACGCGGGAATGTGGAGGGTCATGTAGAGGTAGATGACGCGCGCAATGGTGAGTCCGATTGGCTAGACAGGCACTCTCCGAAATTCGACCCCCCACTTGTTGGTAGTTGTCCCCATCCGAAGAGAGGTCATTGTTGGATCTTTTTCAAGCAATTTGACTCACTCTATTGGCATATGTGCACGCTGGCGTAAGCTTTTTTCCCTAATTTACTCTTGTTACATTGAGTCGCGGTGGTCGATCCTTCCAGAACAGGGCACGCAGGGGTATCCACCACAAACGCTAGAGTGATCTGGATCCGAATCATCCGTTCTCGTTCGGATTCGTTCCTCGGGTCTTTCCGCGCGTTTCCGAAGAAAACCTGGTCACTCTCTCGGGGCCTGTGGCGATGATCGGAAATGACCAGCTCTACCATTAGCACAAGCAGAGTATATGAGTTTGCAGCCATGGTGACCTTCCAAGATCACAAACTTTACACATCTACACAACAAGCATACAACCAAACTTTGGCCCATCATCCAGGATAGCCATGGCTACAATCACACAGACCGAGCCCGCGCTCTCCATGTGGGCTGTCGCAAACCCTACGCAGAAGCCTTTGAAGATTGACGGCACAGACGAGACCTACGGTGATTGGCGGGATGATCTGGTTTGCGATGGTTACGCAATCATCAAGGGAGCTATCCCAGCCGATAAAGTAGAGAGCTTCGCGGATCGCATGTACTCACTTATCGAGGGATTGTACGTTGAGGAATTTCAGTACCCTCTCGAAATAGCTGATTAAAGTACAGTGAGCTTGGATACAACCGCAACGACTCATCGACGGTTCATCCCGGCAAGCTGCCAGTCATTAATGAAAAGGGCATGCTCTTCACATATGCTGCTTGCCACGAGGACTTTGTCTAGGACATACGCAGCGAGCCCGGTATCGTCAATGCATTCGAGAAAGTATATCAGGACGAGGATTTAATCGTGTCCTTTGATGCTATCAACTATGGCTTCGCTAACCGCACAAACCTTCCTAAGAACTCGCCATGGCCTCACCAGGACCAGGATCCTGAGAAGCCAGGTTTCCGCTGCCTGCAGGGTCTTGTTAATTTGCACCGCGCTGGTCCTAACGATGGTGGACTGATCGTGTGCAAGGGAGCTCACTTGCTTAGTGAGCAATTCCACAAGGACATGAAGGATGAGAAGCGCATCCCCGCCTGGACCCCAGAATGGTACGGATACACTGGTGCAGGCATCAAGTGGCCTGAGGAGCACGGCTGCGAGTGGTACAAGGTCGAGGCTGAGGCTGGCGACCTGATCGTCTGGGACTCAAGAGCCCCCCATTACAACGTACCTACAACCTCTGATGTCGACCGCCTATGTGTGTATACTTGTTACATGCCAGTCAAGGATGCCACACAAGAAGAGCTTGTTCGCAAGAAGGATGCTTTCGAGAAGCGTCTTGGCACAACTCACTGGCCAAATGCCAGGAATATTGGCTGGAACGAGGCCAAGAGGAATGGTAAATTGGACAAGATCCAGCGCGCAAGGCCTTAGAAGGAACCGAACCTTAGCGAGAGGGCTTTAAAGCTGACAGGCATCCCATATATCAATGCTTCTGAATAAAAAAGTCGAATTTGTTTGCATGTGTATGTTTCTAAGGTTTCTAACTATCAAAGTGTCCAACATTGAGTGTTATTTACATTTACTCACCCAAGATGAAGGAAGCGTGAATTGTTATTGCTGATTAACAATGATGATCACGAAGTGAGATTTAAAGGAGAAATATAAGGTAATTACTTTAGTCAGGCGCGAGAAGCGTTTTCCGTAATTGATTGTATCCATGGCCAAAGTACTTGTGCATGAAGATAATCCAAGAGCTTAGTAGCGGCGATGAATGGCGTATATTTTTGTGAATGTGCATGTGCTTGTGGACCACATTACCTCATTGCTCAAAATTGCTGAACGTATGACAACAAAGAATGAATGATGATTGGAAGTTGCCAATCATCATTGAGCTGAATCGGCGGCTGTCGGAATGTGGAGAGGCGGGGAAACAGAGGGGCTATACCCTATCGGACGGTAGTCTACTGAGCCACAAGTCTTTCCAAGATCTGTGGTAGCTCTTAGAAATTGTTCGCAGCGAGAACATGCCGCAGTTTCTCTCATCGCTATACATAGAATGAATGCTGAGACGAGCGCATTGAGGCCATCGCCTGATGTGCAACAGCAGTCCGCTGGGACGGATCGTCCGGCAAAACGGCAACGACTCTCGCTGGCGTGCAACGAGTGTCGGAAAAGAAAGGTGAAATGCGACTCAGTCACGCCAAAATGCAAGAACTGCCATTTTCGGGGGATCGCATGCGAAACGACTGATCCAAAACACCCAGAGCTTACTGTTGTGCGCAAATACGGCGGCCACTATCCCTTGGAAATGGATCAGCCTCGACAGGACTCACAGAGGACAGGCTCGACAGTCACAGCCTTGCCCACTCCGACAAGGGGAATAGCGGGTTTCCCAAGCCCAGCAGAGACAAGTCCGGCGCCCATGTCTGAAATGGCACAGAGCTACTCTTCTATAATGAAGGCGAATGAGACCAATTCCTGGCTGGTACGGTCCTATAGAGCTCAGAGAGCCCTGGAGTCTACATCTCCAGCCACAACAATTCCGGATCAACAAGGAGAAGTCAGCATGACCACAGATGGCAACAGTCAGCATGATCAGACAATCATGGGATCAGGAGAGGGTGATGGCCCAGAAATGGCCATTAATACAGATAATGGATCATGGCGCCAGAAGTTCATGGGCGGAAGCAGTCTCCAAAGTCTCACTATGTTTCTGGACTTGTATCTGCAGAGAGCAGGTTTGCCCAAGATCGGACCCTGTTTCAAGCATGGAATGAGTTTTGCAGAAGAATTCGTGCCCTCCCTGAGTTTACGACTGCCTGACCTTCCGCCAGCATCGCTGACTGATGCGTACTTGAAAGCGTACACCACGAATATCCACCCCTTGTTCCCTATTCTGGAACCGGATCAGCTGCACAGAGATATCCAGCGGATTCGGGCATATCAAGATGCGAGCTGGAGCCCCTCTTATGGTTTTAGAGGACTCGATGCCTTACTGGAAGCACACGATGTTCCTGTACTTGCCTGTATCTATGGAGCGATAAGCTTAGGGGCGGATGAGGCAGCCGGTGATCTGACGGAAACGGGAAACGACTTTCTTGCTGCCGCCCATGGGTTATACGCACATCTCATTGGACTTCCACATCTGAGTAGCGTTCAAGCATTACTATTAATCACATTAGCGTTGCGAGCAAGAGGCAAAGAGGGCCAGGGGTTTCAGACACTAGGCTCGGCAGTGCGCATCTCACACAGCATCGGGTTGCACCGACATGTCGCGGTAGCTAAGCGAAGTCAAAACCACGAAGAATTCCAGTCTAGACGGCAAAAAATTGAGCTCCATGCCAGAGTGTGGTGGACCTGCTTTGGTCTTGAAAAGCTTATGGAACTCGAGACTACCCGTCCTTCGGCTATCTCACATGCGCAACATGATAATTTTGCACCAGATGAAATCTTCGCACCTAACTCACAGAACCAACTCAAGTATTTCCTCCACTGGATACTGCTTGCCCAAATCTATGAAAAAATCAATGAACTTTTATATCAGCGGAAGAGGAGCCAAGCCAGCACACTACAACTGCTTCAAAGTATCGGTAGAATTGATTCTGCTCTTCGAGAATGGAAGAGCAATCTTCCCGATGATATCCAACCGGATGGGGATATCTACTGTTCTGATGAAGAACGTCCACTTGCTATATCTCTGGCTCTCCAATACCATTCAACACTTATCACGCTGCACCGAGCATCTCTGGTGTTACCTCACAACCAGTTCATGGAGGAAATCAAGACAAATTCTCAGCACCTGCCATATCATCAGCGTCTCCGAAAGGGCCGCAATCTTTGTACTGCATCGGCATGTGCTACTATTAGGATGAACGTTCATATGCCTGACAAAAGGATACAAACACCTTCCTGCGCCCTCACACAGACGCTTACAGGATGCGTTGTATTGTCGTTAAGTATCTTACGGCATCCACAATCTCGCACAGTCCGCACTGATCTTGAGCTGCTTCGCATGGGTACAGAGATGGCAGAAGCTGAGTATAAGCGGCTCGGCCAACACCCGAAGTTTTTCGAAGCTTGCTCAATTATCGAAAAGTCTATTACTGACTATGTGGTTCAATGTAACCCCAGAGTAAGTTTACGAGAAGGCTCACAGGCACCACGATTACAGTCACAATCTCTAGTGAGACAGACAGACTCTAATGAAACGACGATGATGCCGCCTCTGATATGGGACACTGTGGTGGAGTCAGATAACCAGGATAATTTTCAATTTGATGCAGCCGATCTCTTTGCAGGAGTGATACTTGAGGATCTCTAGAGTGCCACCGCCGATATAGATCTATATATGGGAGGGTAGCTTAGCATACGATGGGCCCAATCATGGATCTCTACAATATCAAGATATAATCACGTTTTACCTTTGTGTACTTTGATGCCTGCCTGTGTTTTAGTTTACATCAAGACTTAGCGAGTATTGCTTTTTGCAACCTATAGAAGTGGAAACGCCCTAGACTAGAGGATCAAGATAAAGTTGAATAATTCTAGAATCAACACGCCAGGAAAAGACTTAGTAAACAATAGTGAGATTTATTAGAATATTGAAAGCTGGTGTTACTTTTCCTTGATTTGTTTTCTCGATAACTATTATGCCTATCTACGAAATACCTTATAGTCTAGCTTACTAGTGGAGTATATTAGAAGAGTAATCTATGGCGAAGTAGATAGAGATGTGCTAATATTTAGTCGCTACAAAGGATCAATTGAAGAAGGGGCCTATCAAGGTTGGAAAGAAAATGGCAATATATACTGCGAGCGAGTCACGTGATGCTACACTAAAATATTTAAACTGAAACGCCGCCTTGTCTGGTGACTAATCTTGTTCGCACAGGACATGTTGTCTTTTCGCGCTCAACAACAAGGGCTTGTGATGACAATCTGCGACAACAGAGCTTACTTGTAAAGGAAGGTAACCATGGAGTGAGCAGGCACGCTAGTGCCAGTCATGGCATCCAGCGTGTGAGACTCGCTCGTGATGTACGCCGAAGCGGTGCCTTTGACACCACTAACACTGACCGTTGCGGCTGAAGCGCCAGTGTTCAAGACCTGCACCGCAACAGAGCCATCTGTGTTCTTGAACGCAGATACCTTGAGCGAGCTTGTAGATGCACTCGCACCGATGCGCACAGCACCTGGCCTGACGAAGCGGCTCCACTGCGCGTAGACCCAGAAGCGCTTGCTAGGCGTAACGACGCCGCCGTGCAGGTTGATAAGTGCCGAGTTGGTGGGCGAGGTCCCCGCGTCTTCCGCGCCTTCCCAGTATAGGTACGCGGAGAAGTTGGCATTGACGAGCGCCGTGTAGATTTTCTCCGCCCACGTCTGGCCCTCGCCCTTTCCGCCGCTGGTGTAGTAGCTGGTGGTCCACTTACCGCTGAGATCAGCAGTTTCAGTCATCCACGCGTGCTTCGAAGAAGCAAACGGCGCCGTGGGGTCAGACGAATATCCGTGTGTGGTGACGACGTCGTACAGAGAGTCGACTGCACCGAGCCCGGTGAGCATCGTCTTCTGGACATTGTAGCCAGTGGCGTCGCAGCACGTGAGCTTTACGTCGAGGCCGGCTGCTTTGACGGTTGGAGCAAGGACTTTGATGAATTCGGCAGCCTGCGCACCGTCCGAAAGCATAGAGGAATACGCCGTGCTGGGTTTCACCGTTAGTGGCTTATTTGCATGGGAGCGTGCTGGTAACATACGTGTAGTCGGGCTCGTTCAGGAAGCCGAGATGGGTGATGGAAATGCCCGCCTTCTTGTAGTCCCTGACGTATTGGGTAAGGTAGTTGGCGTAGGCTTGGGTCCAGTTTCCGCACGACGTGCCTGTCACGCCGCAGAGGTACCCTCCCTAAAAGCGATTAGCAACTGCCCTGTTGACGGAATGGTATGTGGTTCTACATACGTTCGAGTCTTTGCCGTTGGACTTCATGTACCCGGGAGCGGACCAGGCATCGGCGTAGATTAATTTCAGGCCGCGGGTCTGCGCTTGCTGGGTCAACCAAACCTGGTCGTTGTCGGCGCCATCCCACTGGTACTTTGGTGTCCCTGTAGGCGATCCAGGGCTGTTGGGCTCGATAGAGTAACCACTCGAGGGGCCAGATCCGATGCCGTTTCTCAAGATGTTAAAACCCGCACCAGCAGTAGGACTGAAGAGAAGATCAAGCGTCTGCTTCTGAGCCGCGGGCGCCAGACTCTTGATGTTCGCAGCGCGTCCATAGAATTGGGAAATTCCAAAGCCATCGATTGTTTGGTAGGTCTTGCTGGAGTCTATAGCGATTGTAACGGCCTGACGGGCATCGAGTGAATCGAGTGCTGGTGCCGCGAGTGCGACGTTGGCAGAAGCAAGGACAAAGGCCAGCTTGGACAACATAGTGAAGGTTGGTTCTAAAAAAAGAGCGAATGTAGGTATCAGAATGTAGTGGAAGGTAAAGACAAACAAGCAATGCTAAGCAACTGCCAAGTCCGATAAATATAGGAGCGAAGACTTGTCATTCTGTCATAGTGGGTTGAGCGACATAAATAAAATTGCTCTGCATGCGTGCATTACGTCTTCAGCCCATAGCGTATTATTCATTAATTTATCTAGAGGAGGCCATAGCAGCAGGGTATGTGGCTATAGTGAATTCATGCGCCAATCAAAACAAACAAGCTTGCAAGCGCTAGATTGCGAATGCCTCTTTTCTGCAGCAAAATCATTTAATTGCAGCGCAGAAAGTGAGCCTCCATCAGTACCATCGCCGAGGATAACGCCTAGCGTCCCCTTTAAATAACAGGCGATAGCGGTGGCTGTTTGATATTTCGCCGACCACGAGGATACTCCCTCCAGAAGTTGCTCAACTAAACGCACCAAACAAAGGACGCTCAGCTTTGTCGTCTCCACGTATTAATCAAGGATTTAGCTTAGCTCTATCCAGTTAGTTACTAAGCTTCTCGAACGATATGCGTTTTGCGTCCCTTCCGTCAAGTTTCCACGTATCGTTGCCCTCGGCTGCGACAATAGTCAATCTGCATAACGCTCATACCAAATATGTATACACATACACACAACCAGCGCGAACATTAATTTAATTTTCCCAATTACGAAGACTTTATAAGACGCTTGTGCAACGCTTATACATAGTCCTACTATCAAAAATCAAGATAGGCAGGACACGAAACAGCAGCGCCAGTAGACTAGTATTTGGGTAGAGGTTAGGTAGGGGTAGAGTTACCAAGAGTTAGGTAGAGGTAGGGTAGAGTACTAATTATATAATACTTTAACCTCTATCTCTATCTAATATTACGAGTAGTAAACAGAATTCTCATCCTAATAAATAATAAACTAGCTAAAGATCTAGAGACGTTTATATTAAAAGGTAAAAAAATATTATAATACTTAAAGTTACGTAATATAGTATCTTACTAAGACTAGCTATCTAAAGTATTAGTATATAAAGAGATAGTAGTGCTATCTTAACTATGTTACTAAAGCTAGATAGATAAAATACTATTACTAAAAGTAATAGAACTATATAGATAGATATATTTTATTATTACTCTTATTATTATAATCTAAAATTATACTATATTATTAGCTACTATACTTTATAAGATTATTATCTATTAGTCTATAGTGGTTCAGATTAGGTTTATTAATGTATTATTATTATTATTAGAAGCTTAGCCCTGTGCCACTAGGCCACAACAACTAAAAAAGGTATGAGTAATCAGCGTTCTGCTAATGCTCTGCACAGGATAGTATATATAGTTAACGCAGCGCCTAATATTATCCCCCTTCTTAATAGGGCCTAGCCCCTAGGCCTTATGCCTTAGCTATAGTGGGTAAACTACGTCTACTTAGAATACTTTATATACTAGACCTCCTAGTAGCTTATAGAATTAACTAGAGTACCTCTAGCATTATTCTTTAGTCGCGATAGACGTGCTTAGCTATCCCTAATCTAAATTAAACTTAAGACCCCTAGCTCTTCGTTCTAATTTAGCTAGGTAGAACGCTAATTACTATATTAGAAGCTTAGCCCTATACTACTAGGCTATAATAACTAAAAAAGATATAAGTAATTAGCGTTCCAATAATACTATATATAGAATAGTATATATTGTTAGTATAGCGTCTAATAATCATCTTCTATATAAGTACTCTACTCTACTTTCTTACTAGATAATTTCTTTATAGAATACTAATATTACGCTTACTAGCCTTAGTATAGAACCTAGTAAGAGAAGTATAAATCTAAATATTATATAATCATTATAAGCTCTATAAAACTTAAATAATTTTAGTTTTTATTCTATAACGTGTTTTACTACCGAGCGGGCTACCCCACTGAGTAGACTATCTCTCTATACTATTACGTCTTTATAATTAAGTTATATAATACTACTATAACTTTTGGTAGTAAGTAGAATATAATATTATTCTTTAAACGCGTTACTATCTTTTATATTCTTTTATTCTACTTAGTATATATAAAAGTTATATCTAATATATTAGAATAAGTGGGTGGAAGTAGCTGCTTGTTCTAATAGGACTCAGTGGTAGAGGTCTCTTCCTTCTACTTGTTCCTAGTAGACTTAGAGGCAGCTAGTCGATAGATTCTAGATAGAAAAGAGATAATGCTAGGGGAGAGAGATAAGGATTGGATTGATCTGATCTAGTAGTCTGATCTTGTTCTTATGATCTGCTCTTATAGTTGTAATCTTCTCTACTCTCTATCTACTAGTTATTCTACCTCTATATATACTAGCTGCTCTAGATTCTAGAAGAATCTATCTTAGTAATAGATTGCGTAATAGATAGATAGCTTAGATCAGGGATCGATAGATTGCTTGGATCATTGAGATCAGGGTGTAATGTTAACTTGGGTCAGGGATCGGTATCGTCCCAACATAAATTAGAAATTGATGGATTGATTCTATTAGAGATCAGCTGAATAG